GCTTGATCGCCCAAAACAGCATGAAAAGCGGCTGTCCGGCACACTCCTCAAACGACAAATGTTACAACCAGGGAATTACTTTACAACAACACAACTCACCATCAAGTATCTGTACATAAGAAAGGTAAACCAAGCGGCGAGCATGCGCTCCGCGACCGATTCAGACCGTCGAAACAGAACCTTTGGTTGGTAGCGCCGCTGAACTGTTTTCTCGATCAGTTCGGTCAGCAGCGTTTTCAAGATATCCGTACAGTACTCCATTTTCTCATGCAGAATAACCATCAGCAGACTACCAACGTACACCCGGTCCTTCGAAAGGAAATACTTGTTCGACTCCAATGTTCGTACGAATATCAGCAAAAACGACTTATTCATAAACAGCTGGTTGAGCAACGTCAAACCACGCTCGAGCTGTGTGCGCCTGTTTGCGTCAACCTGAAAACGTCGTTCGATATTAACTAATAAGTAACCAGTTTAATCTTGCGTATGGAATCTAATGCCGTTTAAAACACAGCCTCTGAAGAGTACTTGAGAAGTTCTAGTTTGAATCAGAACGCATCAGTATTACTTTGGGCGATTTCTGATGATACTGCTTGGTTACTCAGTCGCTACAGCGTCGAAATCAGAAGCGAAGTTTGAAGCGCGAATCCCGGTCGAGTCACGTGACCTTCTTCCATTTCATTTAGATAAATGATTACCACTACGTTGGAGAAAATATGAGACTACAGACAATGATTGAAAAATAGCTGCAGATTTTGCCTTAGAAGGATGGGGAACTCTTGGTGGATGGCACAGAAATGGACAAATATTATGCTTATGAAATGAAGTGCGCCACAAACTGTCCTCAATCATGAAACTATCAGGGAGACAGACATTCCAACAACGGTTACGAACACTGCCTCCTGCCATTTTTGGAGTGACAACGCGTTCGGTCATGGGCTGTGATGAATGAAAGTGAACTTTGATTTGCGTTTTAAAATTAAAAAAATACATTATGATAACGAGTGACATCAGTTCCTCATTTACATAAGTTCTGTAACTAGATACTAATTGCATAACAACGAGGGGGAAGCCTAGTTTAGGCCTGTTTAGGCAGAAGCCACACTGCGCTAAGCAACCAGTTTTACCGCTTTATCAGGGATCATGTTGGTCTTAGTATCAAACAAATGCATCTCTAACCACTGGTCAGCTTCCGCTCTCACAAAAAGAGGATTAGTGCATATCAATAATGTAAGCATAATTATGAGATCAATTACCTCCAAATCTTTGAGTACAGGGTGGTTGATGGAACTCGGAAACAGCACTTGCATAACGTATTCGCGATATGGTAGGAAAGGTATGCCGGCCGCAGTGGTCTCTGTTGTCCATTCGGTCATGTCGGTCTGTAATTCGGCGAAAGCTTCCTTGCATTCGTTAGCTACTTTGAGTTCAATGGCGTCGATCTGATCTTTCAGGGACTTCATTTGTCGTAGCTGCTTTGTGGATTTGCGCCGATAGGCGACCAGCACCCCGACGATGGCAAAAAAGAAGACGACGACCGCCGCAGCGACGGTGATGATATTGCTCATGGGCATCGGCGACGACGATGGGTCATCGTAACTCAGGTAGCCGATGCTGTAATTGCGGCTGCCCCCGCCAACGCTGATTCTCACTTCTGGTAAGCCACACACCTGCTCGGGCAATCTTGAGCAACTCTGCGCCAGATG